AGAAATTCATTAGGATTGGCTGCATTAGGGGTGTGTGGCCTAACATGCAAAGGAGTTCCTTCTACAAAAAAAGCCCTGGGTTTTGACAACAAACAAGGTAAACAGAATAAGAAGCAAAAGGTGGGTGTGGCTGGATGAGCACACTTCTGGTAACGTGGGAGTGCGGCCTAATGTGCTAATGAGCTGTGCTGGCAGGGGCGTAGCCTAATATGCTAATGAGTTTCTGCTGTTGGGTGTGGCCTATTATGCTAATGGGTTCCTGCTGGGCTTTTTCTACAAAAAGAGCCCTGACTAGACCTTGGTTTCTGCAACACAAAGCCCACCAGAACCTGCTTAGCCAATAGAAAAGGCATTAATATATCAAAGAAATGCCACATCTTCACCCTTGCTGTAAAGATGAACTTTATCTGGCCAACTAAAGCTATCACCGGCCTTGGCGCCACCTCAGAGCTGGTGAATCTTCACAGATGTCCTGGCCTATTTGCCCCCGTCCATCGCGTTTGTTATCTGGGATTCAGAAGGTGTGCCTGAATTTTAATATGCAGTTTGAAGTAAAAAGGCAAAAACCTAAACACTAGCAAATCAAAACATAGGCTCATTGTATCCAGGACTGTAGGAATTTACACAGTGTTTAGGCTCTGCATTCATAAAGCATGGTGTGATTTAGCCAAAGTTGAGCATTTTGTAGTACCACCTCAGTGGAAAGGAAGTTTAAGCATGTGTGATTAACTCACATTGAAATCAAAGGGACTTCAAAGTGTTTACTGCTGGCTGGAACATGCCTGTTTTGTGGAGAATAAACCTCAGTATAAGAAAGTTAGGAATTCCATCCACAAATTTAGTATGAGAAAACCATTTAGCTGAGGATACCATTGGCCTAAGAGATCTGAAAGCTTGTCTTATTTATCATTGCTGACTATCTTCATGATTTACAGGACGTTTTATTATTCTTAAATGATATTGATTATTTTTGGCAGCTTGTAACTACTACTGCAGATATTCCACGCTTGCAATTATATTGGTCCCTGTTAAATCTCTTAAATTAAAATTTATTTTACTTGAGGATATAGGGACTAGTCTGTGTAACCTAATTTCTCTGCTTGAATTATAGGACAAACTGGATGGCTTTGTTCCTGCTCATTTCCTTGGCTGGTATATAAAGGTAAAAATTGGTCCTTTCAGCTATAGTTGGTTTTGAAAGCCTAATGGTCTCTTTTTCAATGTTGCCAATGTTCAGAATCAATTATGTAAGGCAAGGTCATCTGTAAAAAAATTTAAAATGTGTTTGTCCAATTTAAACTCTCTCTCACCATACTTGATCGTTTAATTTCTTTCCTAAATAGCATTCAGTTAACTTGTCTATTCTCACAGTTAATGTGTTCTCACCTCTGATGCATAGAATTTAAAATAGTTGAGCACCTTATATCTATTCCCAGTTATAGTTAAAATACTTTAGTATGTGTGCAATTAAATTGTTACATATGAAACAGCTTGCTTCTAAGCTATTACGACACTAACTCACATATATAAGCAACACATAGAGTTGGATATAGGGACCGTAAATGTCCCTTTCATCACCGGCATTGATGGATATTGAGCCATCATAATGTGGCCAACTTTATCAAACACTGCTGATAAGTCTAATGATAGCAGCAGTAATGAATTGCCCTTATTGAGCTATTATTGGAGATCAACCAACACCAATAGTGCTGTTTCAGTCATGCAGCTGACTTCAAATGGGTGAAGAGCAGATGTCTACTTCTTGTGTTTTTCATGGGTTTAAATAACCAAATTTTGAAGTAATCAGCAGGATTAATTGAATGCTTTTTGTGTTCAGACACTTATGATTCGTGACTGGTGGATGTGTATGATCATCAGTGTAATGTTTGAATTTCTGGAGTACAGTCTAGAACATCAGCTTCCAAACTTCAGTGAATGTTGGTGGGACCATGTGAGTACTATCCCTGTAAAGAAACACGTTCAAGATGGCGTTGTGGGTTGGATTCTATAGAGCAGTTCTGCAAATGGAAGGGGTGTGTGTGTGTGTGTCTGGGGGATGATTTTTTGCTAATATCCCCCTTCCAACTGTACACCTCAAGCTTCCATCATGTTCCTGGGTAATTCCTTGTCCTGCAAGAATAACATTTTGCAGATCAGTTGGTCTGCAATGGGGGAAGATGGAGGTAGGGGAGCAGTGCAGCAGGCAAAAGTCCATTCCATCTGCAGAAATTCTTGCTGGATCCAACCCAGTGGCTCAAATTGCTCCATTGGCAACCTGCTGCAGGGCATTTAATTACTAATTCAATCTGAGTACCTTGGGGAAAGGGGGAGTAATTATTTAACCCTTACAGTCTAAAGAGCAATTGTAATAGCTTTCACTACAGAAAGTTTTTGTAATTTGGCAAACTTAAATGTGCTGGAAGTATGGAAGCAGAAAGACACTCCACTTGAATTTGCTAGTTAATAGGGTTGCTAACAGGCCTGGAGATAAATGTCCTGTCCCTTTAATAGAGGCATAATTAATGCTGTTTACCAGGTGATATTTGCTTCCATACCCTGAGAAAGCCTTCTCGGTTGCCTATTTCCACCCACTAAACTTCTATTAAAGACAGGACATTTTTTCCCAGGCCTGTTAGCAACCTTAGAAGTTTGCCATACATGGGGGAAAACTCACCTGGTTATTTATGGGTTCTTGATAAGAGTTATATTTATTCTTACAGGGTAAATGATGGGTTACCTGTTATATGAGAAATCTGGCAACATTTAAAGCTATTTACTTTTTTTAAACGGTGCATTTTTCTGCTGAAGAATTAAAAAGGAGGAAGCAATGCCAAAATAGCTGAAGCAAAAGTTGCACGCCACGGGAAAGAACAGAGTTTATCCAGCAGTGACTGGGGAGGTGGTAGACCCAGTATGAGACACTGGAACATTTTAGAGGGAAGTGTCAGTGAGGTGGTCACAAGTCCACACCTTAAGATTTTATACAAGTACTGTAGCAAGTTAATATAGGACGTTGGGCAAGTTAATATAGGACCATCAAATAAATTCCTTAACTGTTATAGCAAAAAATAAGCCAAACTAATGCCAAAGGATTTAACTGATAAGAGGGTGGGTGAACAGGTTTTGTGGAACAGTCTTGGTATTGGAGAGTTCAGTAGTTTCAGTACAGAATCTCAGTGTTCAACAGAGTCTTTTCTGTATATGGATGAATATAAAGAATCTTTTCCTCCTATCCAAGGACTGGTGTCGAGTGATTTTTGAAGTTATCTGTAATGTTATATGCACATCTCAGTATTGTGCAATCTGCTCTAGAATAACTGGATTATAAGAGCATGTGCAAGTGAATCCACAGTGCTGCTATTGCTGCATCACTGAGGTTGTGGTAATTAAGTGTATTTCCCTTTTTTCTTTCAGTGGATTATGGATGTACTCTTATGCAATGGACTTGGCATTTACTGTGGAATGAAGACTTTAGGGTGGCTTTCCTTGAAAACATATAAATGGCAAGGGCTTTGGAACATTCCCACTTATAAGTATGTTAAATAATAAAAATCATAAAGTGGAAACATGTAAGAGTTTTGAAGTCCTGATATGCTAATATATTTTCCCCCAGTTAGATTTAGGTTACAACCAATTGTTTTTCATGTATACTAAGTAGGTGGGTGACTTGCAATTACAAATTTGCCAATTTCAGTAGATAACCGAAATAAAAATAATTAAAATGTGCTACACATATCAAATCACAAGACTTCATCATAGGATATTTGGTTTGTTTTTCCCTGCAGAGGTAAAATGAAGAGAATTGCCTTCCAATTCACACCATACAGTTGGGTTAAATTTGAGTGGAAGCCAGCATCCAGCCTTCGCAGATGGCTAGCAGTCTGTGGTATTATGTTTGTAGTAAGGACCCTTTACTTTCTTACAGCTGCAAAAAATTAATGTAACTACACCAAAACTACATTTTGCCTTTTTAATAACATAAATACAGGTTTTCAGTTTTCCATAGCAAACAACCTAAGATCATAAAAACAGCTTCTGAGCCTAAATTTAGATATAGGAAGAGACATGGTTTATTTGGAACCATTCCTTCCTTCATCCCCAAAGCAAGCCAGTCAAACAAAAAAAGTGGGAAGGGGTCTTACAAGTCCATTTCCTGATGATACAGTCCTTGGAAACCAAAAAGCATCCTGCTTTCCCAAATTTGTTTGTTTCTTTTGTGAGTGGGGCAACACAAAGGGAACATAAACACAACTTGGTTTGTAACAGGGTTCTGGGAAAGGTGGATATTTTAAAAAAATCTGGACACACACGACCCAATCAGTTAAACAAGTATAAAGCCAACAGTCGTGATAGTCTGACCCACAATCAAACAGTCATAAGACTTATAAAGAATGCTGTTTATGTATTGCAGTCTAAAGCACTATAACATGATACACAACGTCGTCTCTGGATTACATAACAACGTTTCAAAAAATGAATCTTCTTCAGGAGATATTATAGTGGTGCCAAAGCTCTCAGTGGATCCAGTAGAAACATAGCAGCATATTTTGAGCCTGAATGTTAATTGAGATCAGCGTCCTATCTGAATTTAATATTCTTAAGACTTGTTGTCTAACATTTATGAAACTGAGAGCTTTATGAAACTTTTATGAAACTGAGAGCTATAATATCTCCTGAAGAAGATTCATTTTTTGAAACGTTGTTATGTAATCCGGAGACGACGTTGTGTATCATGTTATAGTGCTTTAGATTGCAATACATAAACAGCATTCTTTATAAGTCTTATGACTGTTTGATTGTGAGTCAGACTATCACGACTGTTGACTTTATACTGTTTAACAAAGGTGGATGTTTTGACATTCTGCATTTAATAAATTGTGAGCATTTACATTTAGTAAAAGGGTCTGGGGGAAACTTGTGCCTTCCCTGCCAATGGGCTCCACACTTGTTTTGTGAACACTGATCTAAAGTGTGTCTTTTTAAATGCTGCCTTAATCACTTGAATAAAGTACTTTGGAATTATAAAATATTTTCAATGGCCAAACAGGTTCGAACAAATAGATCTGGCTGTTTCCATATCTCAATGGCTCCATTGTTGCTTGGATTCCACTTTCTCTGGATGCGAGGAGGTGTGCAGTTTTTGTGATTTCTCCTTCCCATAGCAGCTGATCCTTGGGAATCCCCCCCCCCCGCCTCAAGAATAGTTTAGGGGGACAGTTTCCTGGAGGAGGGGAGAAATCCATAAAATTGCCCCTTCTGCACTTGTGAAAATTCTGGGCGGGATCCAAGCCCACATATTTGCGGGGCCTTTTTGTTCATGATACAAAAACACTTCTAATGTCTATGCTTTCCAAAATTATGGTGCATTAAATTTGAATGATTGAAAGTTTCCTGAAGTTAAATGATTCAGTTCTATGTCTGTCAGTTTTTATTGGCAGAGTTGAACACTTTTTACTTGAAGTTTGTCCTCTGGATGCCTCCAGAACACTACTTGGTCCTACTACGACTTGTCTTTTTTGTGAATGTGGGCGGTGTAGCCATGAGAGAAATCTATGACTTCATGGATGACCCGTAAGCCAGTCTTCTTGTTCAAGTAGAATAATTGCTTCTGTTTTATTTTTGGAACTGCTGGGGGCTATTGCAACTGTGTGTGTGTATCAAGGGATAGCCAGAGCAATGGAGAGAGCGGCAGCAGCTAAAAAACCTGTAGCCTTTTTGTTTTCAAACATAGAACAGATTGTGTCCGACCACATGAAAAGTGGGAGTATGGGGCTAGCAAAACCTTGTGCACGTGCGCGCACACCGCAAATCTCTGTATAAACCTTGTGCACATGAGCACGTGCGCGCACACCGCAAATCTCTGTACACCATTGCTTGAACCATTTTTCTCCTGGCCCTGCTGTCTTCTAGTATTGTAGTTGGCCTGGATGCAAATACTTCTTGTAATGTTGTGCCAGAGTAAGATGGAGGAAATAGCAGGGTTTACATCTCCCCTGCACTTTAAAAAAAGAAGCACATTCATCCTCACTTCATATGTTAATAACTGCTTGTGGATACTCCCATGGCCTCTGGCTTAGCCATGAGGTTTGCAAAGTTCTGAAAAGGCTACTTAGTTTCTTTTTTCAAGGTATATTTATGGCTGTACAGATTCTTGTTTATTGCGTGCATTACATAATAGCTTAATACATAGGGGGGGGGGAAGAACGCGATTACAACAGTTTATTGAAAGCGAAAGGAGATGTTTTATCTTTAACATTTTATTCCATTACATACTAAAAAGTGCCCAGTGTTTATAAAACTTATCTGTACATTTTAAATGATTTCTCTTCTTTGGTAATATGTTAATTTAGTTAATAAGGATACATTCAAAATGTGATCAAAGCAATCTTTATAAAAAGGTTCTATACAGAATCTTTAAAAACCCTGAATTGATATTTTGAGGCCAGATCCTAATACTGCATTCTGTGGTCTAAGAACCAGCCAGATGGGTTCTCAATAGACTCCCCTTTACTTCTGTAGAACCCCAAATAAGGGCTCTGTGATCTGAAACACAGTATGGACTAGATAATGTGTACGTACGATGAAAAATAAGCATCACCGGACTGACAAAAAAGGCCAAAGCCCTTCCCCCTGGTGTTGCTGTCTGGCACCATTATTATTAACTCTACGGTGGTATACCTGCCCTCAGGTGCTCCTGGAACTGCACAGCTTGAATGCTAGCTCCCTGAAATAGTCTTTTGGATCTTCTTTGTGGTCTCTTTGCAGTCCCACACCTGGGTTCTGCGCCTGTGCTCGAACCCGACCTTGGAGAACTACAACTACACCTTCTTGTACCTCTGGCTTTGGCGCATTTTCTTCCCACACTCTGGGGAGCAGGCATCTACTGCGCATGCCTGGAGCGGGGAAGGAAACACCCTCCCACTCAGTTTCTTCCCGACCGCCGCACTGATCAGACCGACCTCGCTGCGTCCCCCCACTTTGAGCTGCTTCTTAGGCCTCTCCCTCTCCTCGTCCTTGTCTTCATTTATATTTGCTTTTCTATTGTGATCTTCCTTCTATAAAGAAAAGGACGTTCTGTGAGTTTTCCCTCTTCATCTTGGACTGTCTTGCTCCTCCCTGCCCCCTGGACCCCCGGCATGGAGCATGGAAGGGAAGACTTGCTTTAAATGCTGAGGAGATTGTGAGGGGGAAACCCCTACTACTGATGGGCATTCCTTGTACCTTTTTTTGCCTGGGCAAAATTCACAAGCCCAACTCCTGTGCTCATTGCAGCAGCTTTACCAAACAAGCTCAAAAATATAGAGCTGCAAGACTGAAGAACCACCTCCCTGAGACCTCTCTTCGACTGGTGATCTCACAGTCTTCAAACTCCAGAGCCTCGCCGTCTTCCGCAGCCCAGAGGGGATGTCCGGGTAAGTTGACAACCCCCTTGGCCTTGATGGCAGCGAAACGTAAGACTGGCAAACAGCCTAAGGTGCTCTCGGTTTCACCCCGACACACCAGAACTGAAGAAATCTCACAAGCCGAAGGACCAATCGGTACCAACACCCACTTCAATCCCGACGAATGTTCCAGCTTCTGTACCACCTTCGGAGACAACTACTGGTCTGCAGGACTCCACCTCTGCTCTGAACTTGTCTTTGACTCCGTCTACCGTGGCCGCCCCCCTCATGCAAGTAGTGCATGTTCCATCCAGATTGCCATCAGTCTTCAGCTACTTTCCATCGGACTTTCTTGAATTCACAACCTGCCAAATTACCACGTTTATCATCTCACCGTCGCTTCTCTTGAAGCTGTTCTCTATCCGAAGCAGACAGCGTCTCTACTACGCTCCAGCTTCCTAGGCTATATCCTACGAGGGCTACCCTAGATACTCTTCAGACTCATGCTCTCCTTCGCCACGTGAGCACTTTCCTCAACCCTACTTGGAGCGTTACACCTCCCCGTCTCACCCTTCATACCACAGCTGAGATTGATACTCGTGGCTTCGCTCGCCCCGCAGATCAGAGGACTTGATAGTTTGCCTCCCTCGAGTCCCGCAGCCTCTAATCTTGGGTCCTCCAGATGCCCCCATCATCATCAAGTTGCCTGTGGCTCCTTGATCTCCACCATCACTCCCCCCCCCCGGCCTCTGGTTGACTTGCTTTCCAACACAATGGTTGTCCAGCCGACTCCGGTACCTACTGTCCCACCGGATGACCATCTCAGTTCCCCAGCCTCCACCTCAGAACCGTCAGACATTAAGTCTGAGGGCTCAGACTCGGAAGCAGATGATACACTCCATATCTCTCTGGATTCAGACGTTAGCCGCCCTTGTTGCCTCTCACTGTCAGAGGGCTCCAAGGCCTTAAACTGGTTATTCATATGGCTACTGCCCTGAATGTTCAACTTACCAGCGATGCACTGATGGTCACAGACCTGGTGCACAAGCTAGTGCAATCTGACCTTCCACCTACATCCTTGCCTCCCATGCTCCCGGTTCACCTAGAGGCTCTCCGTGAGGCATGGGACAACCTGCTTCTATTCCACTGGCCTCAAAGGCTTCAACTCCCTCTATTGAGTCCAACCACTGGATTCAAAATTTCTGTTCTCTCACCTGGTTCCGAACACCGTCATAGTGCACTCAGCCTCAAAATCCAAGCAAGTCCAACATCCTGCACCCCCAGACCGTGAGGGTCTGAAATTGGACGCCCTAGGGTGAAAAAAGTACTCTTTACCATGGCTACAGCCAAGATTCATAACTACCTGGCATATTTCTCTGCCTACTCTTTTCACTTGACTAGTCAACTCTCCACCTTGGTGACCGAACTGCCAGAGACCTCTCAGTAGACTGCCACCACCTTGGTCAATGAGTTGTCCAGACTGGCGAAACAGCAGATCAACACTCTTAGACATGCAGTGTCTTGCTCATCGAAGGCTCTGGCCACTTCCATCACCCTTCAGAGGCATGCCTGGTTACGTTCCACCACCTTACAACCTGACGTGAAGTCCAAGGTGGAGGATATACCCTTTGATGGGGAGGTCCTCTTCCATGCCACCATGGATGAGATCCTCATGAGTGTGAATGATAGCCAGATGAGGGCACAAAGGTTGGGCGTCTCACAATTATATCAGCCATGAGACTCCAAGTAAAAATCTTGGAAACAAAGCTCTTTCAAGCGTTCTCGGTCCCCTTGTCAGTTGGACTATAGGAAACGCAAGGCTCCCCCAGCTAAACAGTTGTACCACTACAAGCCCAGGGCTCCTCCTTCCAAGAAGGTGACACCTTGACCAAAACAGTCTCTTTGACTTTGTCCTATACTCCAATCCTCCTCATCTGCCGTCTGTTACTCCACCTCTGGGCACAAGGCTATGTCCTTCAGCCTGGGAGTCCATCACCACTGATGCCTGGGTCCTCACCATCATCTGCATAGGATACGCTGTCGAGTTTGTTTCAACCCCGCAGGTCCATCATTTTGTGGCAACATCCCTCTCCAGTTTCCTTCATGAAGAAGTCCAAACTCTCCTTTACCAAAGGAGCCATAGAGAATGTTCCACCATTTAAACATCACAAAGGATTCTATTCCCAATACATCATTGTTCAGAAACAGGATGGGGGCAAACATCCCAATATGGACCTGCTGCAACTCAATTGCTACATCCCAGACAAAAAAATTCCAGATTATCACCCTGCAGGCTATCCTCCCACTGCTTCCCAACAATGCTTGGCTGGCATCCCTCAACCTCCAGGATGCCTACTTTCACATCACCATCCGACCGCAACATCGTCGCTTCCTGAGATTCACAGTAGGATACAACCACTACCAGTACCAGATGCTCGCCTTCGGCCTGTCAATGGCACCAAGGGTCTTCACGAAGTGCAGCAACCCTTTGACAACAAGAGGTTACCATTTTCCCCTGCATTGACAATCGACTGCTTGTCGCCCACTCCCCGCATCAACTTCATTGAGATACATCCATCACCCTCCAACTCTTGACCTCCTTGGGCCTTTGTGTGAATCCCGCCAAGTCCCATCTGACCCCCGTTCAGGACTTGCAGTTCATAGGGGCTCATATTTGCACTTTTCTCCCTATGGACAAAGCCTCCACTCTTTGCTCTCTAGCACTGGACGTGATATCTCCACCCATGCAACCGGCTCTGATCTTTCAGTGCCTCTTGGGGATGATGGCCGTGACCACCTCAGTGATACTGTTTGCCAGATTTCACATGCAGCCTCTTCAACTGTGGTTCATCCATGCATTCAACCCTATGTGCCAACATGAGTCAACCCTTCTTACCATCCCCCCCAATGTCTGCCTAAGTCTTTCCTGGTGGATCCTAGAGGGAAACCTGCTGGGAGGGGATGCCTTTCAAACTCCCTCCTCCAAGTGCTATTCTCACCACGATACTTCCTTGTGGAGTTGAGAAGCCCACTGCAGAGCACTCACAGCTCAAGGGCAATGGTCCAGGTCGGAACGGACCCTACACATCAACTGCCTGGAGTTCATAGTGCTCTTCAATCCTTCCTACCCTCCCTGCAAGGCCTCCATGTTCAGAACACCTCAGACAACATGGCCTCCATGCATGGCCACAGTTTACTACATCAACAAGCAGGGAGGGATGGTGCCTGTCAAGCTCTGTAGAAGAGTTCTAGCCCTGTGGCAGTGGTGTCGAGGTCGGCATCCATCTTATGGCTGTTCACCTGCCGGGCAGACAGAATTCTCAGGTGGATTCTCTCAGCCGCAGACCAATGAACAGTAGTGGTCGCTAAATCCCATCTATCTGCGGTCCATCTTTCACGACTTTGGGCACCCCAAGGTAGATGTCTTTGCCAATTTGAACAATCTGAAATGCCCAATTTTCTACAGTCGAGGCCCCCCAACGGGGTCCTCACAGGGGGATGCTTTTCTGCTTCGGTGGGTGGGGTATCTCCTTTACATGTCCCCCCCCCCCTCTCATCACCAGGACAGTTCAGAAAATCATCCAAGACCACTCGGACTGCATCCTGATAACACCCTGGTGGCCAAGATAGCCTTGGTTTGCAAGTCTTCTACAACTGTCTTGTGCCACGTACAGTCATCTTCTGCCAGTGCCGGATCTTCCTTCTCAACATCAAGGCCAGGTTCTCCACCACCATCCCAGCCTCCAAGCTGACTGCTTGGCGGATCTCAGCCTGACTTTTCCACCAAAGGTCCAACACGTTCTTCTGAAGGCCCAAAAGCCGACTGCCCGTCGTTCTTATCAGGCAAAATGGCGGCGTTTGGTTTCCTGTACTGCTGACAGCGAGGTGTGCCCCTGAACGGCTCCTCTGCCCATCATCATCATCATCACCTCCTGTTTGGTCTCTCTTCATGACTCGGGGCGTGGCTGCTCTTCACTGAAGGTGCATCCGTCTGCAATTTCCATTGTTCATAATCCTGTTGAGGGAAGAACCATTTTCTCCCACCCTGTTTCAAATTTGTTCCTGAAGGGCATGTTGAAATTGTACCCTCCTGTTATACCTATAGTTCCGGCATGGAGCCTGTCTCTCATTTCCCCCCAACGTAAGGGTAAACCATTTGAGCCTCTGGTGGCTGTGCCCGTGCATCTTCTTTCCTGAAAGATGGCGTTCTCGGTAGCTGTTACATCTGCTAAGAGGGCAAGTGACCTTTGTGCTTTGCGTGCCAGCCCGCTATACACCATCTCCCCTAAGGATAAGGTGGTTCTGCAAGCTGATCCTCCTTTCTTGCCTACAGTAGTGCCACCATTTCACCTTTCTCAACCTGTGGTGCTGCCCGTGGTTTTTTGCTGATCACGTCGATGATGGTCAGAGGGCTCTTCACACCCTGGATGTCCACAGAGCACTTTCTTTCTATCTTTCCAGGACTGCTCCCGTCCGGAAGGACTGTCGCTTATTTGTAGCCTGTGGTAAGCCTTGCCGGGGGCAGAAGATGTTCCCTCGATGGCTTGCGAGGTGGATAACCTCAACTATTTCACTCTGCTATGAACTGGCCCCATCACTTCCTGGCAAATAGAAGGGGAAGTCGTGGAAGTAGTGGCAGACTTCCCGTTCCTGGGATCCCAGATCACCACAGACTGTGACAGCAGCCATGAAATTAAAAGACGCCTGCTCCTTGGGAGGAAAGCGATGGCGAACCTAAACAGCATGATAAAAAGTAGAGACATCCCCCTGCCAACAAAAGTCTGCATGGTCAAAGCAATGGTATTCCCAGTAGTCATGTATGATTGCGAGAGTTGGACTATAAGGAAGGCTGAGCACCGAAGAATAGATTCTTTTGACCTATGGTGCTGGAGAAGACTCTTGAGAGTCCCTTGGACTGCAAGGAGATCAAATCAGTCCATCCTAAAAGAAATCAACCCTGACTGTTCCCTGGAAGGCCAGAGAATGAAACTGAAGCTCAAACACTTTGGCCACCAAATGAGAAGGGAGCACTCACTGGAGAAGACCCTGATGCTGGGAAAGATTGACGGTCAAAGAAGACGGGGACGGCAAAGGATGAAATGGTTAGACAGTGTCATAGATGCAACCAACATGAAATTGAGCCAACTTCAGGGGACGGCGGAAGACCGGAAGGCCTGGCGAGATCTTGTCCATGGGGTCGCGAAGAGTCGGACCCGACTGTGCAACTGAACAACAACAAATGAACTGGCGAAGCAACCTTTACCAGTTCTCCTGAAAGCCCACTCGACGTGAGCCGTCTCCATGTTGTCGGCCTTTCTTCAAGGTGTTCCTCTGGAGGACATTTGTGCTGCTGCTACCTGGTCCTCACAGACTTCTTTTGGGACACATTGTGCCCTTGAAGCCAGAGCCAGACAAGATGGGTCCTTCAGGCAACCGGTGCTACATGCCTGCTGTCCTCCAGCTACTCGGGTAGGTCCCGCAGGTAACACTCCTGTATGTTTTGGGTGCCACATTTTAGGAAGGTTGTTGACAAGCTCGACCGTGTCCAAGTCTTATGAGGAAAGGCTGAAAGAGCTGGGTATGTTTAGCCTGGGAAAGAGAAGGCTTAGAGGGGACATGATTGCAGTCTTCAAGTATTTGAAGGGCTGTCATGTAGAAGAGGGAGCGGATCTATTCTCTCTTGCTCTGGATTGCAAGACTAGATCTAATGGGTGGAAATTACAAGGGAGTTGTTACGAGCTAAGTATCAGGAGAAACTTCCTAACTGTAAGAGTGGTTGAGCAGTGGAACAGACCGCCTCGGGAGGTGGTGGATGCTCCTTCGCTGGACGTTTTCAAGTGGAGGCTGGACGACCATCTTTTGGGTATGTTGTAGGGCTATCTTTCAGCTATGCTCCTGCAGAGTGCAGGGGGTTGGACTAGATGACCTGCAAGGTCCCTTCCAACTCTAACATTCTATGATTCTATGTTTTCTCGTTACTATTGGTACTACACTGTTGAGTTGCTAGCACCTTCCATCCATGTGTTAGAGCTCACGAATCACCCAGGTGTGGGACTGCACAAAGACCACAAAGAAGATAAAGGGGTCGCTTACCTGTAACTGATGATCCTCGAGTGGTCATCTGTACAGTCCCACACGCCAACACAGCCTTCCCCACTGCTGGCATCTCTCACTAGTCTAATTTACTTGCTGGGGCTTGCCAGCGGCGGCTGGAAGAAACTGAGTGGGAGTGCGTTTCTTTCCCTGCTCCAGGCGTGTGCAGTAGATGCCTGCTCCCCAGAGTGTGGGAAGAAAACGCGCTGAAGCCAGAGGCTAGCTCTTGTCGTTCTCTGAGGTCGGGTTCGAGGACAGGTGCAGAACCCAGGCGTGTGACTGCACAGATGACCACTGGAAGATCATCAGTTACAGGTAAGCAACCCGTTTATTTCCACCATGGTAAAGAAAAACATCTGAAACACATTCGGATAACATGGGCCATGTAATGGTAGACATTTCCCAGAAGAGTAGCTTAGTTTTACATCCACGGTTTTTGGAATATTGCGTATTCTGTTTCTGCTTTGTAAAGACCGCTTTGAATATAGAATGTACGGTGCCTGTATGCTAAGGCTGTCGTTTTATTGCAGGAAGTTCCATAAGAAGTTGGGTCAGCAGGCCTGGCTGGTGGCTGCGATCACGGTCACGGAGCTCCTCATTGTCGTAAAATATGATCCCTACACCTTAACGTTGTCACTTCCTTTCTACATCACTCAGTGCTGGATCCTTGGGATCATGCTTGTGCTCATATGGACAGCGTGGCGCTTCTTCATTCGGTAAGCAGGAGCCAAAAAAAAATCTTCTGGGTCAGACCCAGTGTTCAGTTCTTTACAAGGTGTCAGCAAGCTGCCAAATTTATTTTATTCTGAATTTCACATGTATGCGCTTACTTGCTTTCGGGTTCATATGTAGACGTGTTGATGCGCTTAATTGCTTAGCTGCTGGAACGTGTATATCTCTCAAGGCCACAGGTGGTTCGTTGCTAGATAGTTGCTCGGGTGATCTCACGGAGAGTCGTGGGAAGGAGATATGTTTTGCCAACTAGAAGCGTTTGCTCCCAGGCCCGATGGCGCATGGGGGAAGTCCCGCAATTGGGCCTCAGCTGTTTGAATGTACTATAACCTATCATGCTCATTGCTTTTCCCTCATTCCTAACAGTGATTCTGTACATGCACCTATAGCTTCAAATAAAGTAAAACCTTTCTACAAGAGTGTACTTCATTGATGCTGTGGGGAAGCCTGACACAAGGGTCCGTCTTGTCCAGCACACTGATTCAAAAAGTGGCCAGCCAAGATGCTTCTAGAAAGCCCAGGGAAGAGGGGGAGTGGCTGTCATTAGGACCACACTCTGGAGAAACAGGGCAGAGCTAATAGATAGCGGCTGCTCTCAGCGTCTTTGTCATCCCCAATAGAGGTGGTATGCATAGTGGCTCTTCCCCTGTGATCCAGGGTGGGGGAAACTCAGGAAGTGAGCTGTCTGCCACCTCTAGATTATTTGCCTTAGCTGTAGCTATCATCTTTAGAATTGGGAAATGTTTAGTGTTTGTGGATAGAATCAGTGTATATTTCCTGGTCCAGGGAAATAAAAGTGCAGTGCTTAAAAGTGCAGTAGATGGGTCATTTCCTGCAGGAGCGCACAGGAGCACAGCTCCGGCAGTGAAGAGCCCAGGGGGCGGGCACATGCAACAAGCCCCACCCCCTGGTCCCACCAGCCCTCAGTCAGAGCAAGAAGCAGCCAGGTAAGTTGCAGAGCCCCCCCCCCCCCGCCCCCCCTTCGGTTACAAGCGCCTTCTCATCCTCCTCTGTGAGGACAGATCTGCATATTCCACCCCCCCCCCATAGCTAGCAATCCAAAACAGTCCAGTGGAGCCTGAGCGGTGGGTGTTGCCTTCTGACACACTTCCGGTGATGTCAGGGGGTGTGGTGTATGCAAATTAGTTATGCTAATGGGCTCCTGCACCTTTTTTTTCTAGGAAACGACCCCTGGCAGTCGATATTTCTTTTTGTAGACTAAAAGCAGAATGACTTGAGACCTCTACCAGTAAAATGCTTTTGTTTCCTTTCCAGTGACATCACCTTGCGGTACAAAGAGATAAGAAGGCAGAAGCAAGAACACAAATACAGGACTGACAAGTGTCTGAGCAACGGTGACAGACTTTCTGCTTTGGCAGATGAGCCCAGTGGGAATAAACTGAGAGAGAAAAAACTTTGAGCCTGAGCCACAAATTAAGGGCTAAGTGGATTATTTTACTGGAGTCGATGTAACGTGACTTGCAAGTTTAACCCTACCTAATTTTGTAAGTTTCAGTGTTTTCTCGTGTGTGAGAATCCAGTTGGGAAAGATGTCATCTAATCTTGTTTGCAGAAGATGTTTACAGCTAACGTTAGAAGCAAAGTTTCCCTCCCCCAACGGAAGGGGTCTCCATCTGAGTGTGTTTTTAAAATTTTTTTGTCTCACCTCGCAAGAAGGGAGACTGGAAAGGCTTGGAGAGGTGAAAGGGAATCCAGGAGCCCCATGTCTGGAATACTGTTACTGCTCGGGAGCACATTCTATGAGATTATGTGCACTGCGAAGAACAATTGAGTTTTTCCTGTTGAAACAACTGCCATGAACTGTGGTGTAACACTCATGTCCTCTTGATTCATTCACTTACCAGGGGCACTGTTAGCAAGATAAACGGAGGGCTGCAGTTGAAGCCAGAGGACAGACTGCATCCCTTGCACAGCCTGCCGATTCCGGCTGCCTATTTCTCAAAGCAAAGGTGCATGACCTTGAAACAGCCTCCTGTTTCATACAACATCATAAATACCTCTCAGTCCACCTGATCATCTCGTTAGGCCAGCAAGTTTTAATTTTGTTGTCTTACTAGCTAAATAGAGCAAGTGAAAGCTAACACGCGTAGAAGAGTCAAGTCCACCAAAGTTGTGTGTTCTTTGCCTTATTCTTCCATAGAGTCGTGTTCTGCTCTTTCCAAGGCCCTGAGTGCTTCAGTCGTGGCCCCCCATTTATACAAGGCAGAGAGTGTCATTTGATCCTCTGGAGCCGCTTAAATGCACTAAATACCGTGGGGATGGGGATACGCCACTGCAGTGTACACAGTCATCCTTTGGACGGTTGGAGGCTACAGCTGACATGGCCTCCAGTTCAAGAGTGCTGGTTGTCTCCTCTTGCCTCCTGGAACAACGCTTGGGCACAGGGTGTCCATGTTTATAAACCACCTTTTCTATGATGACAGTTGTTATCATAGGAACTTGTTGCACATTCCTAAAACAGCTATGCGGGTTTTTCCTTTTATGTGTAACACTGAATTAAATTTCATCTCATCAGTCCTAAATCTGTTGAAACTTTTAGAAATTTATTTTGAAGTGAAGTGAGTATAAGCTAAGCGTTCTAAGCCTCGTCTTGCCTCCATCCACATAAAATCTCTAAAAATACTGCTGATTAAAGCACAATGCGTCTCAGACCTTGGCTCGCTTTCAGTTGATACTTGAATGGTAATAGTCTGCCTTCCCTTTGTTTCTACAATGACACTAATATAGTTTTCTTTTAAACAATGGATGCTTTCAGCAGGGCAAAATGAAAAAAAACAACATTCCCATTAAAATGAATTTTTCAAAGTTTAGCAAATGAAGCATTCTTTAGCACAGTACATGAGTGAAGGAACTCATCTTCACATGAAGGTTATTGATTCGTGCATAATGTAATGTTAAGACTTTGAATGGCTGGTATTTAAAATTAGAATTTCTCTGCTGCTCAGTAATATACTGTGGGCTGTAACTAGACACTAACAGACTTCTCTGAAGGGCATATGCCAAGTTGAACTGATAGGTATAAGAAGCCTTTCCTACACATGGATGCAGTACATTTTTGAAACTGCGGGTTCATTTTGTACCTGTCTTGTGAACTGACTAGAGGTAGTACTTGTGCTGGTGTGACCCCAGTTTTACGAGGCTTGCATGGGCATATAGGCTATTCTTGTACTAGTGAACTCTGCCCTTCTTGTAATTTTGTGTTGTAATGTCCTCCATGTAATCCTGGTGGTAACAAGTGCAGTGGGACAAACTTGATAGTTTTTTTAAAAACATTTCTTTTGTTAGGAACCAATTACATAACATTTCAAGCATAAGAGGCAGGAAAATGGTTTCCCACATTGACGTTGACCTACTCTCAGACTTCCTTTTATACTGATCTTCGTTCATTGAAATATTGAGCTTTACAGTTAGTCTGTACAACTGAACAAGTGTAATAAAAGGATGTTTGCTGATGTACTCCGGCATTGCAAACTCTGTGTATGTGTGTGCGGGGGGGGGGAGGGTGTCATGTCTCATTGGATATCATAGTTGTAGTTTTGTAAGAGCAATGGAAAATCCTGAGTCGGTGCACAATCAACAACTGTGACTGGGAAGATGCTGAAAGTAAGTGTTGTGTGGCTCTAAAATGCTCCAAATTGATCTGAACTCGATACCTGTTATCAGAGGACCAGTGGGATGCTGTCCGGACGAAGTTAGGCACAGCTTGTCCCATTGATTCTAGAGGTAACTGGACAGTCTGGGCAGAATCGTGCCCGATACTTCAGATCTGGTGTCTTAAACTCCCTAGTTTTCCGTGGTAGTAAAATCAGTTTTACACTGAATTAAATGCTGTAGTATCCTCAAACCAGCGAACGGTGTGTAGTTCTCAACATATCCAAAACCTGTCGATATTGGAATTGCTCTGCATAGTTGCTTCTTGAAGACTTTTCAGCAGGGGTCATTTCGTAGAAAAAGAGCTAGGAGGACTCATTAGCACAACTCATTAGCATATGCCACACCCCCTGACATCACCGGAAGTGTGTCATGAGGCCACACCCCCTGACATCACCGGAAGTGTGTCATAAGGCCACACACCCCGCCCCCAACGGTCCCGGCCGCCACCACTGGCCTTGCAGCTCCACTGCCGAGCCCCATGAGGGGCCCGGCGGTGGACCTGCAAGGCCGGCGGGAGTGCAAGGAAGCCCCGCGAAGGCCCTCCCTGGCCCCAGGCAGGCAGGGGTGGGGAGAGGCAGGGAGGAAGCAACTTACCCTCCCTCTTCTCCTGCCTCCTCCTGGCTGAATGAGGGTCGGAAGCAGGGGGCGGGGCTTCGTCATGTGCCCCGCCCCCAGTACCTCACCCGGGGGAACTGCGATCCCCCCCGAAATGACCTCTGCTTTTCAGACAAGACATAATTCTCCCGCTTGGGTTGACAGCTCTGAAGTTTTCATCCCCCCCCCTCCAAATCTTTAGTTTGTAGTATACTGCTGGTGGGTCTGCTGCAAAACGTATAACCCAGCTGCCAGCAAGACTAGGGATGGATCTTATGTGACAAATCGACCCGTGCATCCAGACTGTGATCTGTAATATATGGATGCTTGACGGAATCCTCCCTCAGATAAGAGACTGGGCAGCGTAATTTTCTCGTCTTTTCCTTTCTGTTCTATGATGGTACGAATACATAAACATGACAGAAAAGGGGAAACTTTTCCCAGAATGTAAACTGTTCAAACTTCATGCTGTTTCATTTTCCTTTAATTCAGTAGTCAAGGATAAGCAACGGCCGAGGATTGAGTCGTCAGCTGGTGGGACGGTTGCTGATCTGAAAGATATCCTCTGAGCTACCATACGAGCAACTTAGTTGTGCTCACAGTCAGTGTTCCCTCTAAGCTGAGTTAGTGTGAGCCAGCGCACCGTTTTTTAGCCTCCGGCTCACACCGTTTTGTCTTCGCTCAGGAAGGAGGGCTCCAGAGCAAACCAGAGCCAGTTTGGTGTAGTGGTTAAGTGCGCGGACTCTAATCTGGGAGAACCGGGTTTGATTCCCCACTCCTCCACTTGCACCTGCTGGTGTGACCTTGGGTCAGTCACAAGCTCTGGCAAAGCTGCCCTTGAAAAAGAGCCGTTTCTGTCAAGAGCTCTCTCAGCCCCACCCACCTCACAGGGTGTCTGTTGTGGGGAGGGGAAGGGAAAGGAGTTTGTAAGCCAATCTGAGACTCCAAGTGAAGGGCGGGGTATAAATCCAATCTCCTCCTCTTCTAATTTATGCAGTAGCCAAATCACCTGCTCACAACTTTAGTGCCGGTAGGTCACAAAGTAGAACTTTTGCTCACAGAATTCCATAACTTAGAGGGAGCATTGTCACAGTAACATGGCTGAGTGCCACTATCTGATTGCCTTTTCATAGAATTGGGGCTAATATGTTGGAGAGACCCAGTCATGCAGGCTTGTCCTAAACTGGCTTTATTATTATTGTTATTATTCAAAGATAACTCAAATATACAGAAGAAACCAGGAAGCAGAAGCATTAACGCATTCATCACTATTATAACGAAGTGTAAACATACACCTAAAATGTTTTGATAACTCTGTATCCTACTAGTATCCTACTATTAAGATGTGAGTATTGTGTAATATCATTAAGATAGAAGTACAAGCTTGTGGAAACAGTGCTCAGACCCTAAAATAAAGGCAAACTAAAGTAAGAAAAGGAGCTGCGGTGGCTCAAGTGGTTAAGACGCTGAACTGCAGGCTGAGGAAGGTCGGTAGTTCAGCAGTTCGAGACCTGAGTGCCGCATGACGGAGTGAGCTCCCGTCTCTAGTTCCAGCTCCTGCCAACCTAGCAGTTCGAAAGCAAGAAATTGCAAGTAGATAAACAGGCACCACTTCGGTGGGAAGGGAACAGCGTTCCGCGTGCCTTCGGACAGCGCTGGCTCTTCGGCTTTGAAACGGAGATGAGCACCGCAACCCTAGAGTCTGATTTGACTGGCTTTCGAGCAAGGGAACCTTTACCTTAAAGTAAGAAAAAGCAACTCATAAATGAAGCCATTCGGCATAGCCGACATGTGCTGGTAGAATGTCATTTTCTGTGAAGTAGGTTATTAATGCAAACCACTTTCGTACAAATTTGGACTGTGATCCTGAGTGCCCTCGTGTGTGTGTTTCCTATGTGTTAGCTATTTTGTCCATCACATAACGATCCCGGCATTTATTCCGCCAGCGATGAAGCGATGGGGGTAGCGCCGATTTCCAAGAGGCAGCAATAAGAAGTCGGGCCGCTACTAATCTGACTTTGAGGTTTTTCTTGCATCTAAATTTAGTCCCATTTGCAAGATCCTGACCCTAGAGATAGAGAGGCCATAAGACTAGCATGACCTGCAGTGCTGGAAGCCGGTGTTCTCATTGCTGGAATATCAATTCCTTAGTCTGTGCTTAAGACAACTAGAGCTCTTGACTCCTCTGTGATTCCCAGAGTTAAGGCTGTGTTATGAATTACTCAACATGGATATTAATCTGGACACCGCTGTAAGCAAGAAGTGCTCGCTCCCTATCTTGTAATCCTATATCTTCCCATTTCCTCATCTAGCTGCCTAGCTTAATAAGTAACTTTAATGAACCTTATAGTGGTTATATTAAATTTCTGCCACTCCAACTACAATATCTGAAATTGATTAACCGATGGTATTTGACTCCAACGCGACTGGCACATATTTACAGGACAAACAATAATTTATGTTGGAAGGGATGTGGAAGTACTGCAGGATATCTCCATTGTTGGTGGTCATGCCCTAGAGTCAGGCGCTTTTGGGTATTTATTAGTGCTGCCATCCAAGATATAACAGGTCTCAATCTACCGGAAACACCTGAAGCATTATTACTTCATAAAACACTTGAATCTATTTTACAATCTTCAAACAAACAGATAGTCCTGACTCTACTTGCCTTAGCAAAGATGGAAATCGCGGCTAAGTGGAAGGATAGTAGGGATCCCTCTATCTCAGCTTGGCAAAATAGGATATGGGACTGCTTTATAATTGCTACATTGACTGATAAAATCCTACGAGAAACACATACCACCTATAAATCACGACTGTTTCATACTTGGGCACCAATGACAACCCTACTGAAGTCGCAAGCTGTGATTCCTGCTACGGCCGATAATTTGGACCTGATAAATCTCTGATTAGCCCCATGTTAGGTCTACAGTCTGTTCTGTGGAGTGTAGTTATAGTAATTTATTCAGTTAGATCCTTGTTGTTTTATAAAGTAGCTTATATGAACCTTTTTTAATTATGGGGGGGTGAGGGGGACCCGGGGGATTGTTGAAGTTATTTTTAATGTAAATTTTTCATATTTTTAAATTATTTTTAAAAAAGTGGATAGGATGTTTAGACTCCCTAAGATTCATTTACGTGGACTGGAGTGGAAGATGTTATTGAAGGGGGGGTGCAATATGGTAAGGCAGGATCATAAATCATGAGTAGAATTAAGTCTAAGTTACTGGAGTCTCACCTTGGAATTCACCTTTGGCTTATCGGTCATCAGCAGTATGTTGATAGTATCTGCTAAACGTATCGTTACGGTCACTGTGGAAGAGTGGCCAAGCGGAGACAGCCGTACGTGGTGCCGGAGTAGAGGTGCTGCACTCCTGCGTGGGTAGAAATCCAAGACTACATAGATGCTTGATCCCTTCTGTGCTGGCACTTCTCCAGCTCAGAAATGTTTGGTTAGAATTGCTACTTATTTTTCATTTACAGTACCATGTATCTTAATCTTAATCAACAACCTCTGATATGCAGACGGTACCACTCTAATGGCAGAAAGTGAAGAGGACCTAAAGAGCCTCTTGCTCAGGTAAAAGAGGAGAGCGCAACGGTTGGCTTGAAGCTCAACATCAAAAAAACAGGTCATGGCATCCAGCCCCATCACTCCTTGGCAAATAGAAGGGGAAGTCGTGGAAGTAGGGACAGACTTCACGTTCCTGGGATCCCAGATCACCGCAGACTGTGACAGCAGCCATGGTATTAAAAGATGCCTGCTCCTTGGGAGGAAAGCGATGTCAAAACTTGACAGCATAATAAAAAGTAGAGACATCACCCTGCCAACAAAAGCCCGTATGGTCAAAGCAATGGTATTCAAAAGCCAGGCAGAAGTCCTTTGTTATAACAGTCATTTAGATCAGCTGAGCCACCCCTTTTAGCACCATATCATTTCTTCTAGCATGAGAGTTCCATACCAAATCTAACTGAGCTTGCTTTTAGAGACACGCATAGTGGGTTGGATCCAGATTAAGGAAGAGAAGGTGTAATTTCCATCAGTCACCCATACCTGCGGCAGACCCTTGATTTGTCATGCATCTGTCTCCCAGGAGCAACATTTCAGGGAGACCGATGGGCTGCTGAAGGGGGAAGGAGGCAGGAAAGATGTGTTGCAATGACAGGTGTCTTCCATCAGCAGAAAACTTAATCTGGAATCAACCTGAC